GGGCCGGCCGGCCGCCGTCCCCACACTCTGCGATGATTTCTGTGAAATTTTGCCGTAGTGATGCCATTGTTTTCAGGATTCCCAAGGGTTCAGTCCGTCCGTCCGTTTTTTATTCAGAATGAAATGAAATATTTTTTTGAGTTCTGACGGGTCCTCTGTCTGGCTCTCTGCGCCGGGGGTGGCCCTGGCCCTGCTCCGGTGGCCTCTCCAGCCCCAGGCCACCGTGGCCACGCCGACCCCACCCTCCACCTCCACCACCGCGTCCCCTCGCATCCCCCCCCCCCCCAGCTCCGGGCTTGGCCTGGCGGGGAGGGGCCTCCACATCTTCTCTCCCACTCTCTCTGCAAAGCAACGGGCTTTCACCAGTGTGCTCGGAGGATAGAGTCTTGGCCTGCAGACCAAAGGGTCCCGGGTTCGATTCCGTCAAGGGCATGTACCCCGGCTGCAGACTCCTCCCCTGCCCGGGCCCTGGTCGGGGCACCTGCAGGAGGCAGCCCATCGATGTGTTTCTCTCACATCGGTGTTTCTCTCTGTCTCTCCCGCTCTCTTCCACTCTCCATAAAGTCCATGGAAAATATCCTCAGGCGAGGATTTTAAAAAGAGGAGAAAAGGGAGGGGTCGCACAGGCCTCCTGGGGGGCCTGTGAGGATTAAGGACCGAGCGTGGCCCTTTCCGCCCCCGCCTGGCGCACCCGCTCCCTCGGCTTCCACTCCTCCAGGACGGGGGACCCTGCTGGGACGAGGACGTGTCCGAGCCCCCCCTGCCCCCCCCCCCGTCTCTGCTTCCCCTCCTTCCCTCCCCCCTGAGCGTGAGGCTGCTGCTCCTTGGAAACACACACCGAACAGCCGCACCCGCGGAGGAGAAGCACCCAGGGCTCCATGCTCCTCCGCCTCCAGGCATTTGGGGGTCCCCCTGCAGACGGGGCTCCTGCTGGGGCCCCCAGCTGCTCCCTCGCCTTGAGAGCAGTTAAAGGGTCCCAGAGGCTCCCGGCTGCCCCGCCGTCCTGACAGGCGTCACTGCTTGGGGGCCACCCCACCCCGTCCCCCAGCAGACCCCAACTGGGGGCCCCATGGGGGCTGCACCTATCAGGTCACTCACCTCCCCCAGGGGTGAGCCGGGCGCACAGGGAGGGCTGGGGGGGGGATGGGGAAGGGCCCACCTGGGGCCCATTAGGACTTTCCTCCCCACAGGCCCAGGGAGAAGGTGGGGGCGCCCCCCCCAGGCCACCGGGGGTTAGGGCCGGCCCAGGGCGGAAATCCAGGCAGGCTGCCTGGAGGAGGCGGGACTGGGCTGGCCTTGGAGGGAGCCCAAACCGCCGAGGAGGAGATGTTTGGGAGGTTTGGGAGCACAAGCCCCCGGATTCCCAGGTTCGGGGCCCAGAGCCAGTGAATGCCGCACCTCTGGGGGCAAGCTGCGCCCCAAACCCAGCCCGGCAGCTCCCACAGGCTGCACTGACCCGCCCCACCCCCGCCTGCGGCTGCGTCTCCGCGCCTGCGCTCCTGAGTTTTCTGAACGTGGTTTTCCTGCTGACGTCTAACATCGTCAGCTCCCCCACCTTCTGCTCCTAATGCCGCCAGCCTCCCCCCCCTCCCCGCTTCACGTCGCCAAGCGGCTCCGGGGTCCTCCTCCATGCCCCCCTTTCCGGGTCTAGGCCCCGAGGGTCCCCCCCCCCGTTCTTTTCCAGCCCCTCTTCCAGGGATGCTGGGAGGCCGCCGGGCTCCCCTCAGTGGGCGCCCCAGCCCCTCCTTTCTGCCCTCGGAAGACGGCCCCCGCCAGCGCCCCAGCCGCCCCGGTCAGAGCGACTCACTCACCTTCCTTTCGGCCCTCGTGCCCGTCCGGTGTGGTCCCTCCGGGAGGGGTGACCTGCGGGCCGGAGCCCGTCCCTCCGCGGCCCTGAGCCCGTCCCTCCGCGGCCCTGTCTGTCTCTGAGCCCCGGGACGCCTCCCGCTGCCCAGACCTGCCCCCCGGCAGCCCGCCCACCACCACCCCCGGTGCTCACCCCACACGGGGCCTGGGAGCCGAGGCCGAACCGAGCGGGTCCCGGGTCCGAGGGGCCCCAGCCTGGGGAGAGCAGGGGGAATGGGTCCAGGCACGGCCAGTCCCACGAGCCCTGCAGCAACTAGAGAAAGTGAGCCTGTGAGCCGGGGCCCCGGCCGAGGCCCCCACGGGGGGGGGGGGGCACATAACCGCAGGGAGGCCCGTTCGGCCAAGCGAGTGGGAGCTTCCTGCAGTGTTTGCAATGGGGCCACCCCCACCGGCACCCCCTCTCCCCCCCATGGCAGGGACCCCACCAAGCCCCAGCCCCATGGGGCCACCCCCACCGGCACCCCCTCTCTCCCCCATGGCAGGGACCCCACCAAGCCCCAGCCACCCAAGCCTCTTCTTACAAGCCGGCCAGACCTCCGCCGGGACCCAGCCAGCCCGGCGGCCAGGGCCTGGGGACCAGTGGGGCCTGGGGACCAGTGGGGCCCGGGGAGGCCAGGCCTGGGGAGGCCAGGCCCGGGGAGGCCAGGCCTGGGGGACCAGTGGGGCCTGGGGAGGCCAGGCCTGGGGGACCAGTGGGGCCTGGGGAGGCCAGTGGGGCCCGGGGAGGCCAGGCCCGGGGAGGCCAGGCCTGGGGACCAGTGGGGCCCGGGGAGGCCAGGCCGGGGGGACCAGTGGGGCCCGGGGAGGCCAGGCCTGGGGAGGCCAGGCCCGGGGAGGCCAGGCCTGGGGGACCAGTGGGGCCTGGGGAGGCCAGGCCTGGGGGACCAGTGGGGCCCGGGAGGCCAGGCCGGGGGGACCAGTGGGGCCCGGGGAGGCCAGGCCTGGGGAGGCCAGGCCCGGGGAGGCCAGGCCTGGGGGACCAGTGGGGCCTGGGGAGGCCAGGCCTGGGGGACCAGTGGGGCCCGGGGAGGCCAGGCCTGGGGACCAGTGGAGCCTGGGGAGGCCAGGCCTGGGGGACCAGTGGGGCCTGGGGAGGCCAGTGGGGCCCGGGGAGGCCAGGCCCGGGGAGGCCAGGCCTGGGGACCAGTGGGGCCCGGGGAGGCCAGGCCGGGGGGACCAGTGGGGCCCGGGGAGGCCAGGCCTGGGGAGGCCAGGCCCGGGGAGGCCAGGCCTGGGGGACCAGTGGGGCCTGGGGAGGCCAGGCCTGGGGGACCAGTGGGGCCCGGGGAGGCCAGGCCTGGGGACCAGTGGGGCCCGGGGACCAGTGGGGCCCGGGGAGGCCAGGCCTGGGGGACCAGTGGGGCCCGGGGAGGCCAGGCCTGGGGGACCAGTGGGGCCCGGGGAGGCCAGGCCTGGGGACCAGTGGGGCCCGGGGACCAGTGGGGCCCGGGGAGGCCAGGCCCGGGGGACCAGTGGGGCCCGGGGAGGCCAGGCCCGGGGGACCAGTGGGGCCCGGGGAGGCCAGGCCTGGGGGACCAGTGGGGCCTGGGGAGGCCAGGCCTGGGGACCAGTGGGGCCCGGGGACCAGTGGGGCCCGGGGAGGCCAGGCCCGGGGAGGCCAGGCCTGGGGACCAGTGGGGCCCGGGGACCAGTGGGGCCCGGGGAGGCCAGGCCCGGGAGGCCAGGCCCGGGGACCGGCGGGACCCTGGGAGCCAGGCGGACCCGGGAGGGCGGGCCTGGCCGTGCCCGGGCGTGCGGGCCCTCCGGGTGTGCTCAGCGCCGCACCGACTTGTCTCCCAGGATTTTTCCACACAAAACACGACTCCCAGGACAGCAACCGGTCGGATGAGCTGGGCGCCCGGGCGTTGCCACCCCGCCCTCCGTGCCCCCACACGCGGCCCACAGGGAGGCTCCGCGGACCAGCCGCTGGGCCTGGGATGCAGCCGGGCGCCCCTCAGCCCGCGGCCGCCGGGATGAGCCGAGGGCCCCACGGCGGCCCCACAGCCAGGGTAGGTGTCCGTCCCCGCCGCCACCGGCCGGAGCCCCGCCCGGCCTCCGCCTGACCTCTCCAGGACCCTCTGTCCCCCCTGCCTCCCCACACACTGACCTCCCGCTGGTCCCCCAGGCCTGCCGGGACCCCGGCAGGTTCAGGCAGTGTCGGGGGGAGGGTTCTACATTGAAGGGGGGGCCTGGGGCTGGAGCAGGCTCCCGGGAGAGAGGCTGTTGGGTAGAGGGGTCCCCCAGGACTTGGTCAGGAGAACCGGGAGGTACGTGGGGCCTCCGCCCGCCCCCCATTCTCACTCAGGGTACCAGGGGCCCCTGCTGGGCCGCAGCCAGGCCTCCCTGGGCCGGCAGCCTTGGAGATGCCTGTCCAGCGGGGAGGGACTCAGACCCACCGGGCTGGGCCCCAACCCCGACACCGCTGATTGGGGCTCGGTGGGACTCCTGGCTTCCCAGGGGAGGCTGGGAGGAGGGCCCCTCTGAGTCAGCCCCCCGGGGCGCCCCGCCTGCCTGTCCATCACTCACTGCCCTGCGGAGCCTGGCGGACTGACTCACGGGTTGGAAATGGCTTCCCGCCCCCACAGCCTGGGGGGCAGGAGCGTGGAGGGGTGCCCTGCTGAAGCGTGTGGGGGAGGGGCTGGAGGTGGCTTCCAGCATCCGGGGACCCCGGTCTGGAGGGCCACCCCCAGGGAGAGCCTCCGGGGCCTTGCGGGCACCCAGTGTGGCGGCCAGGGCTCCACCAGCCCCTTCCACCCCAGCTCTTCCTAAGCCCTTTATCCTGAACCCGGACCTCGGCCCTGACCGGCCCTGACGGTGACTCCTAATGCCAGCCCTGCCTGGGCCCTCGGCCTCAGGGTTGGGCCCTGGAGCTGTGAGGGCCCCCCCCCCCCCGCCCGGGACAGCCCAGCCCCGGAGCGGCGGCCACACATAGTGGGGCCTGGAGAGCGTTTCCCAAGGGGCAGATCGCCTGGCCCGGATGGGCTGGAGGAGGGGCGGCCGGCCGGCCGGGGCCACCAGGGCCGGTTCTTCCGCCCGAATTCCGCCTCCCGCAGGCGGGCGGGCCCTCCTCCACCTGGCCAGGTGTCCCCGCCCCCCGCGGGCTGGGCGGCTTGTCTCCGCGGCTCTGGGTGAGGCCGTGGGGAGGGGACTCGGGGACGGGCGGCTCGGGACAGACGCAGAGACACTTGGGGCTGGAGGCGGCCTCGGCGGCCCGGGCCCGGCAGACCCAGCGCCCCCGCGCCCGCCGCCATGCAGGACGGTAACTTCCTGCTGTCGGCCCTGCAGCCGGAGGCCGGAGTGTGCTCCCTGGCGCTGCCCTCGGACCTGCAGCTGGACCGCCGGGGCGCCCAGGGGCCGGAGGCCGAGCGCCTGCGAGCCGCCCGCGTTCAGGAGCAGGTCCGCGCCCGCCTCCTGCAGCTCGGCCAGCAGCCCCGGCACAACGGCACCGCCGAGCCCGACGGGGTCCCCAGGGCGGCCCGAGGTAGGCGGGGCCCCGGTGGGCGCCGGGCGGGGTGGGGGGGCGCGGAGGTGCCAGGGCCGGAGGCCTGGTGGAGGCTGGCTCCAGGGTTCAGCTCCCTGACTCACGGAGGCCGCACTGAGTCACCCGCCCCGCCCTGGCGGGCGTGGGAGAAGCCATGGGTGGGGCCTCCCAGCACCCACTGGGACCCGGGGGCCTCCCACCGAGCCTGGGGGGGCCCCTGCCCCCCGCGCTGATCCCCGGCCGGCAGGGAGAGCAGCACATGGCCAGCCTGCCAGGCCGGGCGGGCAAACCCAGAAGGCACACGGGTCCCTCCCGTGACAGGCTCACACATGGTCCCGCCCCGACAGCACGGAGACGGCGCCCTCCCCCCCATGCCCGCGGGAGGGAGCAGACAAACACACGGACGTGAGGGCAGGTCTGGGAATCCTGGACGGGAGCCACCGCCTGCTGTCTGACCAGGGCCCCTGCGGGATTGCCGGGGAGGCCCCTGGACTGACCCAGATACTCTCCGTGGGAACCGAGGCGGGGGGGCCTCGGAGCCAGGAGGCCTGCCCTGTGCGTGCGGGAATCCCGGCTCCACCGGCGTGTGTGTGAGTGTGTGTGCAGGTGTGTGTGTGTGTATGGGTGTGTGTGAGTGTGTGTGTGAGTGTGTATGAGTGTGTGTGTATGGGTGTGTGTGTGTGAGTGTGTGTGTGAGTGTGTGTGTGAGTGTGTGTGGTGTGTATGGGTGTGTGTGAGTGTGTGTGTGTGTGTGTGAGTGTGTGTGAGTGTGTGTGTGTGAGTGGGTGTGAGTGTGAGTGTGTTTGTATGGGTCGTGTGAGTGTGTGTGTGAGTGTGTGTGGAGTGGTGTGTGTGTGAGTGTGTGTGAGTGTGTGTGTGTGTGTGTGTGAGTGTGTGTGTGAGTGTGAGTGTGAGTGTGTGTGTGAGGTGTGTGTGGGAGTGTGTGTGTGTGAGTGTGTGTGTGGTGTGTGTGTGTGTGAGTGTGTGTGAGTGTGTGTGAGTGTGAGTGTGAGTGTGTGTGTTGGGTGTGTGTGTGTGAGTGTGAGTGAGTGTGAGTGTGTGTGAGTGTGTGTGTGTGAGGGTGGGTGTGGGTGTGGAGTGTGTGGTTGGTGAGTGTGTGTGAGTGTGTGTGAGTGTGTGAGTGTGTGTGTGAGTGTGTGACTGTGTGTGACTGTGTGTGTGTGTGAGGTGTGTGTGTGGGTGTGTGTGTGTGTGAGTGTGTGTGAGTGTGAGTGTGAGTGTGTGTGTGAGGTGTGTGTATGGGTGTGCATGGGTGTCCTCCTCGCTGAGCCACAGCCACAGGGACAGTCAGACTGGAGAGCCCCTCCCGGGATGGGGCGGAGACCCCGGCCACAGAGGCTCACGCAGGTCAGTGGGCATCGGGTCGCAGGCAGCCCAGCTCTCCTCAGCGGTGCCCGGGGTCCGAGGGTGGAGGCCGGACCAGGAGGGGTTAATTGGCACCTGGCTGCCCTGCCAATTAACAGCAGGAAGATTGTAATTTGGGGGGCATGCCCCCCAGGCTGGGCCTCGCCAGCGTCAAAGGGTTAATAGCTCTGCCGAGAAGCCTCATTAACCGGGCAGGGCGGGCGGCAATCCGAGGGAACGCCCCTCCCTCCACACAGGGGTGGCCCAGCGGGGACCTGGCGGACCACCCCAGGCAGCCCCTTCCCGTCCAAAGACCCTGCTCCCGAATCCCAGGCGCCCCCCAGCCTGCCCCTCTGCTCTGCCTTGGTGCCCATCACCTGCCCACCCACACCCACCCACCTGCCCCCCCCCACACCCACCCACCTGCCTGTCCCCCTCCTTCCCACTCTCCACCCCCCAGGCTTCACCCTCACTCTGTCCATCCTCACACGGTCTGTCTCCTGTCTCTCCACCTGCCCACCAGCCAGCCCACTCGCCTGCCCACTGGTCTGTCCACTCACGGTGGAGTCAGGCTGGCGCCAGCGCCCTCAGTCAGGGTGCCGAGGGGGCGGGTGTGGCTCTGCCAGGGGGACGGGGGACTGCACCCCAGGCCTGACTGGTCCCGGGAGACGGAGCAGAGCCTCACTCTGCTGACCGCAGCCGGGGACCGGCTCACAGGGGCCAGTGTGGCCTGGAGGGGGGAGCTGATGCGGGGTCCCTGGCTCGCCGCCCAGGGGGCTGGGAGGGCATGGGGTAAGCATTGCCCCCAGCCCAGCTGGAGGTGAGGGGGCTGGGAGGGCATGGGGTAAGCATTGCCCCCAGCCCAGCTGGAGGTGAGGGGGCTGGGAGGGCATGGGGTAAGCATTGCCCCCAGCCCAGCTGGAGGTGAGGGGCTGGGAGGGCATGGGGTAAGCATTGCCCCAGCCCAGCTGGAGGTGAGGGGGCTGGGAGGGCATGGGGTAAGCATTGCCCCAGCCCAGCTGGAGGTGAGGGGGCTGGGAGGGCATGGGGTAAGCATTGCCCCAGCCCAGCTGGAGGTGAGGGGGCTGGGAGGGCATGGGGTAAGCATTGCCCCAGCCCAGCTGGAGGTGAAGGGCCGGGGTCGGTGGAGACAGACGGCAGGGACTGGAGCTCAGCCCTCCCCAGTGGGCCCAGGGTCCAGGCGGGAGGCGGGAGGCCTTGAGCGGCCAGGCTACCACAGTGCTGTCCACAGGCGTGTCCCGGGGCCAGTACCACACCCTGCAGACCGGCTTCAGCTCCCGCTCCCAGGGCCTGAGCGGGGACGGCGCCTCGGTGAGTGCCCCGCTCCCCGTCCCGCTCCGCGGACACATGGGGGGCTGGGGGAGGCTGGGGGAGGCTGGGGGAGGCTGGGGGAGGCTGGGGGAGGCTGGGGGGAGGCTGGGGGAGGCTGGGGGAGGCTGGGGGAGGCTGGGGGCTCGGGGGAGGCTGGGGGCTCGGGGGAGGCTGGGGGGAGGCTGGGGGAGGCTGGGGGGAGGCTGGGGGAGGCTGGGGGAGGCTGGGGGAGGCTGGGGGCTTCGGGGGAGGCTGGGGGGAGGCTGGGAGAGGCTGGGGGAGGCTGGGGGAGGCTGGGGAGGCTGGGGGAGGCTGGGGGCTCGGGGGAGGCTGGGGGGAGGCTGGGAGAGGCTGGGGGAGGCTGGGGGAGGCTGGGGGAGGCTGGGGGCTCGGGGGAGGGCTGGGGGAGGCTGGGGGAGGCTGGGGGAGGCTGGGGGCTCGGGGGAGGCTGGGGAGGCTGGGGGCTCGGGGGAGGCTGGGGGAGGCTCGGGGGAGGCCGGGGGGAGGCTGGGGGAGGCTGGGGGAGGCTGCGGGGGAGGCTGGGGGAGGCTCGGGGGAGGCTGGGGGGGAGGCTGGGGGAGGCTCGGGGGAGGCTGGGAGCTCGGGGGAGGCCGGGGGGAGGCCGGGGGCGAGGCTGGGGGAGGCTGGGGGAGGCTGGGGGGAGGCTGTGGCCCCCGGGGCCAGGGAGAGCCGGCCCCCACTCACTGCCACCCCGTCCCCCGTCCCCGTCCCGCCCACAGACCTTCCGGCCCATCGCCAAGCCCGCCTACAGCCCGGCCGCCTGGTCCCTCCCGCTCGGCCGTGGACCTGAGCTGCGGCCGGAGGCTGAGCACGGCCCACAACGGGGGCAGCGCCTTCGGGGCCGGGGTCGGGGGAGGCCGGCCCGCCGTGCCCGCGCGGCCCGTGTCCTTCCAGGAGCGCGGGGGCGGCCCGGGGGACTACGACACGCTGTCGCTGCACTCGCTGCGGCTGGCGCCCGGCCTGGATGAGCGCGGCAGCGCAGCCTCCGAGCAGCCGGAGCCCGCCGCCTGCCGGGCCTTCGCCTGCGAGCCGCCAGGCCGGCGCCGGCGCGGGGCGGGCGGGCGGCCTGGACTGGCCCGAGGCCGCCGAGGGGGCCGCCCGGCCGCCCCATCCGCGCCCCGGCCATGCGGACGCTGCAGCGGTTCCAGAGCAGCCACCGCAGCCGCGTGGGGCGCCGTGCCCGGCGGCGTCCTCGAACCCGTGGCCCGCGCGCCCTCCGTGCGCAGCCTCAGCCTCAGCCTGGGCGAGGCGGGGCCCCTGCCGGACCTGCGGGGGCTGGACAGCTACGGCGGCCAGCGCGCCCTGCAGAGGCTCAGCAGCGGGTGAGCCGCGGGCGTGGGAGGGCGCTGCCTGGCCCCGCCGCCCGGGTCGGCCTGACCCCTGACCCCTGACCCCTGACCATCTCCGCAGCTTCGATGACATGGACTTGCCGTCGGCAGTGAAGTACCTCATGGCCTCGGACCCCAACCTGCAGGTGCTGGGTGCGGCCTACGTCCAGCACAAGTGCTACAGCGACGCCGCCGCCAAGAAGCAGGTGGCCGCCCGCGACCCCGTGACCCCTCCCCGACCTCTGGCCCCTGACCTCTGGCCCCCAACCCCCTCCCTGACCCCAGGGGACTGTGCTGGCTTCATATTGCCAGTCTCCCAGCAGAGGAGGCAGCACTGCACCCCTCTGCACACGCCTGTATACCCGCACAACACCGTGCACACACCTGTACACTTCCGCACACAGTCCGGCACACGCACGCACCCCCGCAGCACACCTGCAAACACCTGGGACAGCGATTTCCCCCGCACACGTCCGAACAGCGCCTGGCACCCCGCACACACCTGCACACGGACCTGTAAAGGCGCCGCAAACGTCCGCACACGCCTGCACCCCGCACAACCGGTGCGCAGGGCTGACCCGCTGTGCCCGCAGGCCCGCAGCCTCCAGGCCGTGCCGCGGCTGGTGAAGCTCTTCAACCACGCGAACCAGGAGGTGCAGCGCCACGCCACGGGCGCCATGCGCAACCTCATCTACGACAACGCCGACAACAAGCTGGCGCTGGTTGAGGAGAAACGCATCTTCGAGCTGCTGCTGCTCACGCTGCTGGAGCAGGACGACGAGCTGCGCAAGACGTCACCGGTGCCTGAGCCCCGCCCCGCCCTCTCCCCCTCCCCCCTCCCCCTCCCATCCCTCCCCTCTCCCCTCCCCCCACAGCCCCGCCGTGCCAGCAGACACGAGCTCGCAGAACGTCACCGGTGCCTGAGCCCCGCCCCGTCCTCCCCCTCCCCCCCCCTCCCTCCCCCTCCCCCTCCCCCTCCTCCCCCTCCCCCTTCCCCTCCCCCCTCCCCCCCCCCCTCCCCTCCCCCTCCCCCCTCCCCCTCCCCCTCCCCCTTCCCTCCCCCCTCTCCCTCCCCTCCCCCCTCCCCCTCCCCCTTCCCCTTCCCCCCTCCCCCCTCCCCCTCCCCTTCCCCCCTCCCCTCCCCCTCCCGCCTCTCCCTTCCCTCTCCCCTCCCCCCACCGCCCCGGCCGTGCCAGCAGAGGACGACGAGCTGCGCAAGAACGTCACCGGTGCCTGAGCCCCGCCCCGTCCTCCCCCTTCCCCTTCCCCTCCCCCTCCCCTCCCCACCTCCCCCTCCCCCCTCCCCCCGGCCCCCTCCCCTGCCTCCCTCCCCCTCCCCCCTCCCCCCTCCGCCTCCTCTCCCCCCTCTCCCCCCCACCCCCCGGCCGTGCCAGCAGGACGACGAGCTGCTCAAGAACGTCACCGGTGCCTGAGCCCCGCCCCGTCCTCCCCCTTCCCCCTCCCCCTCCCCCTCCTCCCTCCCCTCCCCCCTCTCCCCTCCCCCCACCGCCCCGGCCGTGCCAGCAGGACGACGAGCTGCGCAAGAACGTCACCGGTGCCTGAGCCCCGCCCGTCCTCCCCCTTCCCCCTCCCCCTCCCCTCCTCCCTCCCCTCCCCCCCTCTCCCCTCCCCCCACCGCCCCGGCCGTGCCAGCAGGACGACGAGCTGCGCAAGAACGTCACCGGTGCCTGAGCCCCCCCCCCCGTCTCCCCCGTCCCTCCCCCCTCCCCCGTGTCCCCCCCCCCCGCCTGCCCTCCATGTCCCACCTCCTTCCTCGGTCCCGAGTCTGCCCTGGGCCGGGTCTCCAGTGCCGGGGGGGGGGGGCCATGTCCCCCGCAGGCCGCACTCAGCGGTCGGGGAGGCTCCCGCCGGGCCAGGCGGAGGGGGGGTAAACGCGCCCTCCCGGCCCCCGAAGAGCCGCCGCCCTGACCGGCCGCTCCCGCAGGCATCCTGTGGAACCTGTCCTCCAGCGACCACCTCAAGGACCGGCTGGCCCGCGACACGCTGGAGCAGCTCACCGACCTGGTGCTGAGCCCCCTCTCGGGGGCCGGGGGGCCGCCCCTCATCCAGCAGAACGCCTCGGAGGCTGAGATCTTCTACAACGCCACCGGCTTCCTCAGGTGCGCGCACGCCGGCACACGCCGGCACACGCCTGCACACGCCGGCACACGCCTGCACACACCAGCACACGCCAGCACGTCTGCCACGCCGGCACTTGTTTGCACACACCCGCACATGGTTGCACACCTCTGCACACACCCGCACACCTCTGCACATGCCCGCACATCTCTGCACACCTCTGCACATGCCCACACACCTCTGCACATGTCCGCACATGCCTGCACACCTCTGCACACACATGCACACACCCGCACACCTTTGCACACACAGGGGGGAGGCCGCCAGGGCACCAGGGCTGAGCATGGACATAGGAACCGGGAGGTCAGGGTTCGATTCCCGATCAGGACACAGGCCCAGGGTGCGGGCTCCATCCCCATTTTGGGGACGTGCAGGAGGCAGCCGGTCCATGATTCTCTCTCATCGTGGATGTGTTTCTCTCCCTCTCCCTTCCTCCCTGACATCATTAAAATTATATTTAAAAACTAAAAGGTGCTGGCCAGGGCATGGAGTAGACTCTAGGCCAGTGGTCGGCAAACTCATTGGTCCACAGAGCCGAATACAACAGCACAACAACTGACATTCCTTCGGAGAGCCACATTTTTAAACTTAAGCTTCTTCTAACACCACGTATTCAACACAGACTCGCCCAGGCCGTGGCGTTTTGTGGAAGAGCCCCCTCCAGGGGCCAGTGAGCCGCCTGTGGCTCCCGAGCCGTGGTTTGCCGGCCACGGCTCTAGGCCCACAGGCTCAGGTCTCATTGAACCAGGGACCTGATCTGACCCTCCAGGGGGAGGAGGGCCGGGCACTAAGGCCTTAGCCCTCAGGCCCAGGTCTGGGGGGGGGGGCTCCCGGGTCCCCGTGGGGGTCCCTGACCGGCCTCCACCCTCAGGAACCTCAGCTCGGCCTCCCAGGCCACGCGCCAGAAGATGCGGGAGTGCCACGGGCTGGTGGACGCCCTGGTCACCTACATCAACCAGGCCCTGGACGTGGGCAAGTGTGAGGACAAGGTGAGGGCGGCCGGGGGGGGCGGGTGGCTGGCGGGGAGGTGGCTGGCGGGGAGGTGGCTGGGGGGGCCGGCGGGGAGGTGGCTGGTGGGGAGGTGGCTGGCGGGGAGGTGGCTGGGGGGGAGGTGGCTGGGGGGGAGGCGGCCGGGGGGGGGCGGGTGGCTGGTGGGGAGGTGGCTGGCGGGGAGGTGGCTGGCGGGGAGGTGGCTGGCGGGGAGGTGGCTGGGGGGGCCGGCGGGGAGGTGGCTGGTGGGGAGGTGGCTGGCGGGGAGGTGGCTGGCGGGGAGGTGGCTGGGGGGAGGTGGCTGGGGGGGAGGCGGCCGGGGGGGGGGCGGGTGGCTGGTGGGGAGGTGGCTGGCGGGGAGGTGGCTGGCGGGGAGGTGGCCGGGGGGGGGCGGGTGGCTGGTGGGGAGGTGGCTGGCGGGGAGGTGGCTGGCGGGGAGGTGGCTGGCGGGGAGGTGGCTGGCGGGGAGGTGGCTGGCGGGGAGGTGGCTGGGGGGGCCGGCGGGAGGTGGCTGGGACGGGGCAGCCGGGCGGGCTGGCCGGCCCTGCTGACCGCAGCCTCCCGCAGAGCGTGGAGAACGCCGTGTGCGTGCTCCGGAACCTGTCCTACCGCCTGTACGACGAGATGCCGCCGTCCGCCCTGCAGCGCCTGGAGGGCCGTGGCCGCAGGGACGTGGCCGGGGCGCCGCCCGGGGAGGTGGTGGGCTGCTTCACGCCGCAGAGCCGGCGGCTGCGGGAGGTGGGTCGGCTTCGGCCTGGGCCAGCGAGAGCAGGGGGCGGGCAGGGAGGGACAGGGGGGTCAGGGACGGACAGGGGGTCAAGGAGGGACAGGGGGACAGGGGCCTGGCTGACCCTGGCTGACCGCGGGCCCCGCCCAGATGCCCATCGCCGCCGATGCGCTGACCTTCGCCGAAGTGTCCAAGGACCCCAAGGGCCTCGAGTGGCTGTGGAGCCCCCAGATCGTGGGCCTGTACAACCGCTTGCTGCAGCGCTGCGAGCTCAACCGGCACACGACCGAGGCGGCGGCCGGCGCCCTGCAGAACATCACGGCCGGCGACCGCAGGGTGAGCCGCGCGGGCGGGCCCCCCGGGTCCCCCGACCCCCCTGGCCCCCTCGGACCCCTCGGAACCCCTGCACCCCCCCTGGACCCCCTGGACCTCCCCTGAACCACTGGCCCACCCCCGACCCCTCGAAACCCCCCTGGGCCCCCCTGGCCTCCCAGACTCCCCTGGACCCCCCCAGTACCCCCCACGAGCCCTCCCTGGACCCCCCGGCCCCCCCCGGAACCCCTGGGCCCCTCGAACCCCTCGACCCCCTGGACCCCCCCGGCTCCCCCACGAGCCCCCCCTGGACCCCCGACCCCCCCGGAAACCCCTGGGCCCCCCGGACTTCCCCCTGGGCGCTCCCCGGGCCCCCTCCTGGGTCCCCCCCGGACACCCCCGACCCCCTCCTGGGCCCCCTTCTGGCCACGGCAGAGAACCCGGGGGGGGGCAGAGGGCGTGAGGGCCTGCTCGGGGTGGACATCTGCTGGGAGAGGAAGGGCCAGAACGCCCCAGGGGCCTCGAGGCTGGGAGGAGGGACAAGGCGGAGGGGGCGTCTGGGGTGCCGCGCGGAGCCTGGGGGAGGTGCCCAGCAGGTCAGTCCGGGGGGGCGCCTGGCAGTCCTGCCTCAGTTTCCCCGGGGGCGGCGCTGGCGCCTCGCCCCGCGCCCACCAGCCCCTCCCGCCGGCAGTGGGCGGGCGTGCTCAGCCGCCTGGCGCTGGAGCAGGAGCGCATCCTGAACCCGCTGCTGGACCGCGTGCGCACGGCCGACCACCACCAGCTGCGCTCGCTGACCGGCCTCATCCGCAACCTGTCCCGCAACGCGCGCAACAAGGACGAGATGTGTGAGTCCGCAGCGGCCCCCCCCCCCAGCGGCCCCCCCCCAGCGGCTCCGCCCCCAGCGGCCCCGCCCCCAGCGGCTCCGCCCCCAGCGGCTCCGCCCCCAGCGGGCTCCGTCCCCCCAGCGGGCTCTGTCCCCCCAGCGGGCTCTCCCCCCCAGCGGGCTCTCCCCCCCAGCGGGCTCTCCCCCCCAGCGGGCTCTGTCCCCCAGCGGGCTCTGTCCCCCCCAGCGGGCTCCGTCCCCCCAGCGGGCTCCGTCCCCCAGCGGGCTCTCCCCCCCAGCGGGCTCTCCCCCCCAGCGGGCTCTCCCCCCCAGCGGGCTCCGCCCCCCCAGCGGGCTCTGTCCCCCCCAGCAGGCTCCGCCCCCCAGCGGGCTCTGTCCCCCCCAGCGGGCTCTGTCCCCCCAGCGGGCTCCGTCCCCCCAGCGGGCCCCGCCCCCCCCCCCCCCCGCGGGCTCGGCCTGGCCTGGCCGGCTGCTGCGGCCGCCGGGCTCGGGGCGGCCGGCGCTGACCGGCCTGGGTCCGCAGCCACCAAGGTGGTGAGCCACCTGATCGAGAAGCTGCCGGGCGGCGTGGGCGAGAAGTGCCCGCCGGCGGACGTGCTGGTGAACATCATCGCGGTGCTCAACAACCTGGTGGTGGCCAGCCCCGTGGCCGCCCGCGACCTGCTCTACTTCGACGGGCTCCGCAAGCTGGTCTTCATCAAGAAGAAGCGCGACGGGTGGGCGGCCCTCCCCAGCCCCCCCCGGCCAGGCCCCGGCCGCCTCCCCGGCCCCCTCCCGCCCCGCTCCCCGCCTTCTGGCTGAGTCTGTCCGCCCTGACGCCCGCCCTCTTCCCAGCCCCGACAGCGAGAAGTCCTCCCGGGCCGCCTCCAGCCTCCTGGCCAACCTGTGGCAGTACAGCAAGCTCCACCGGGACTTCCGGGCGGTAGGTTCTGGCGCGGGGCAGGCAGGCTCCCGGAGGGGGTGGGGAGTTAGGGGCCAGGGGAACAGGGTCCGCCCCAGCCCCCAGGGGGCGGGCGGGTGGGTGCAGGGCGGCACCCTCACTCGCACCCCGCCTGATTGCAGAAGGGCTATCGGAAGGAGGACTTCCTGGGCCCCTAGCCGAGGCCATCCCGGAGGAGGAGGAGGACTGGACGTGGCCCAGCCCCCCGAGGCCGGGCCCAGCCCCCGCGGCCGCCGCCGAGGGCCGCCTGGAGGAGGAGGCCGGTGGCCCGGTGCTCGCCCAGCCCCGTGCAGCTGGGAAGGGCCGGGCCACCGGGGAGGACGGGCGGGGGCTTGCAGTGGGGACGTGGCTTCTGCAGGGCGGGGAGTGGGCAGGGCTTGAGGCTGCTCTGGTGCAGGGGTGGGGACGGGTCAGGCTGGCGGAGGCGGGCTGTGCGTGGCCGCAGTGCTGCCCACGCTGAGAATAAAGGTGGTCGTGAAGACAGCAGCCGCCCCACACGCTTCTTCCTTTTTAAAATGTGTTTTTATTGGTTTCAGAGAGGAGGGGAGAGGGAGAGGGAGAGGGAGAGGGAGAGGAGGGAGAGGAACCTCAGGAGGACAGAGGATCATGGACCCGCTGCTCCTGCACGCCCCCTACAGGGGATGGAGCCTGCAACCTGAGCGTGTACCCGGCCGGGAACCCAACCGTGACCTCCTGGTTCACAGGTCAAAGCTCAACCCCCGAGCCAGGCTGGCGGGACCCACGTGCTTCTTTAGCGGGTCTGACCCCTGGGTACTCCGGTGCCCCCAAGCACAGCCAGGCCGCCTGGGCTCACCCGGGCCTCGCCATGCCAGGGGAGAGCTGGTGGGAGCGGAGGAGGTGGGGGAGGCAGCTGAGGCCTCGGTGCCACTGGAGACGCAGGGACCATTCCTGGCAAAGGCACCCACAGCTCTCTGCCCTGCCCTCCTTGGGCCTGGGGGCACCTGGCCAGGGCTCTGGAGCTTGGGAGCCTCCCCCTCACTGAGCCAGGCCCCTGGTTATGCAGCTCCACTGAAATCCCCGACAAAGGCTCCTTCCCAAGCTCAGCACCGAGTCTCCGAGGGGCTGGCTCCTTGGGATCCGTCTGGACCAGGGGGACTGGGGACTCCACGCTGCCCCTCGCAGGGGAGGGGGCTCCAGCACGATGTGCCTGAGCCGGCACGGGAGGGGGAGGGGGACGGTGGGCAGATGGAGGGGGACGGTGGGCAGATGGAGGGGGAGGGTGGGCAGATGGAGGGGGACGGTGGGCAGATGGAGGGGGGACGGTGGGCAGATGGAGGGGGACGGTGGGCAGATGGAGGGGGGACGGTGGGCAGATGGAGGGGGAGGGTGGGCAGATGGAGGGGACGGTGGGCAGATGGAGGGGGAGGGTGGGCAGATGGAGGGGGAGGGTGGGCAGATGGAGGGGGGATGGTAGGCAGATGGAGGGGGAGGGTGGGCAGATGGAGGGGGGAGGGTGGGCAGATGGAGGGGGGACGATGGGCAGATGGAGGGGGGACGGTGGGCAGATGGAGGGGGAGGGTGGGAGTGGACAGCCCGATTTGGTGACTGAGGCCACAGGGATTAAAAAAAGGGGGGGTCAGGGGCCCTGGGAGCCCGAGATGGAAGTGAGGGGTGCCCGGCCAGGACAGTCCACCCCTTCCTGCCCAGAGAGGACAGGACGCGGCAGAGGCAGGGTCCGAAGGACTTTATTTTCTGGCAGGAGGAGGCCCGGGCCCCCCGCCCCGGGGTCCCAGGCCGCGAGGGGCGGGCTCCAGGTCGGACTCTGGCCGGGGGGGACTACACGTCCTCCTCGGACACCAGGCAGTAGAAGTCTGTGCGGGCGCCGTAGTTCCGGGAGCCGAGGTCCGAGACGTCCACCTCGCTGCCCCGGGCCTCTCCCAGCGAGGCCTGGCTGGGCTGCGGCGGCGCCGACGGCTCCCCAAAGACAGGCCCGCGGACACCTGGGGGGACACCCGCCTGAAGCCCCTCGCTCCCCGCTCCCCCCCGCAGTGACCTCCGAGGTCTCAGGCCCACGCGCCTCTGAGAGAAGCGGTGAGGGGTCCTGGGGGCCCGGCCCCGCAGACGGCGGGGGGAGTCCCCCCACCTGGGCCCGCTCCGGCTTCCGCAGCCCTGGGTCCCGGGGTCCGGGCGGCTGGTGCACATACCCAGGTCCCCCTCGGGGTCGGGGTCCAGCTCGGGGTCCAGGGTCTGGCCCTCGGGGACGTGGCCCCGCACGATGAGCATGGGGTCCTTGTCATCCTGCAGCCGCGTCTGGGGGTCCCCCTCCATCGCCCGGTACTGCACCTTTCGCGGCAGCGCCAGCTGCAGCTCCTTCCAAAAGTCCGAGGACGGCGTCTGGGGGCCGAGGCGGGGCTTAGCGGGGGGAACACAGGGGGGTGCAGACACTGGGACCCCCGCCCTCAGAGCCCCCCGCACCACGGAGCCGGGCCGCCAGCGCAGCAGGGTCACCAGGTGGCGGTGCTGGTGCAGCAGGTGCAGCGCGGGGTGCGCGGGGTCGCGCCGCGGGCCGTCGAAGGTGATGAAGATGGGCCTGCGCGTGAGCTCCAGCAGCCGGCACAGGCCCTCCCTGCGGGCGGATGGGGCCGTCAGCAGGCCGCAGCGAGCCACGCCCCCCCCCAGCGCGGGACCCACCGGAAGCTGTGGCTGCACCAGGGCCGCCCCAGGAAGGCGTCTGACAGCACCACGATGAGGCGCCGGCAGCGGCTCAGGTTCACCAGGAGGTCGGCCGAGGGCTCTGCGAACCGGAACCGGGGATGGGCTGGGACCCACGCGGGCAGGGAGGGGCCGCGGCGAGCAGGGGAGATGGGCGGGGCCCTGACGGGGGCGGGGCCAGGAGTCTGGGAGGGGCGGGGCCTGGGTTACGGAAGCGGTGGAGGGGCAGGGCCTAGGTCAGGGGCGGGGCCCTGGTAGGTGTGGGGCCTGGAGCCCGGGAGGGGCGGGACCCTGGCAGGGGGCGGGGCCTGGAGCCCGGGAGGGCGGAGCCTGGGTTGCGGAAGCGGCGGGGGCGGGGCCTGGCAGGGGCGGGGCCTGGGGCGGGCGGCGGAGTGGGGCGGGACCGGAGCCCGCACCTGCCCGCGGCAGGAGGTCACGGTCGTCCAGGAAGAGCTTGTAGCCCCGACAGCGCTCCAGCTGCGGCTTCAGGATGAAGTTCACGAACTTGCGGTCGTCGGGGCTGTCGCTGTAGGAGACGTAGGCGTCGTACAGCTTCCCGTCTGCGGGCGGCAGGGGTCAGCTGGCCGCTCCTGGCCGGGGTGTCCCGGGTCCCCACCCCCGAACCACCCCGCTGGCCCGGGCCGCCCACGCACCATGGCCACGCACCGTTCACCTCCACCTCCCCGTAGGCGTTCTGGTACCAGAGCTGCACGTCCAGGCGGCACTTCAGGTAGAGCAGGGCAGCCAGCAGCAGGGCCAGCAGGACCAGCAGGGCGGCCAGCACAGCGGCCAAGTGGCCTGCGGGGGCTGGGACAGAGCTGCACCTGAGCCCTGAACCCCACTGCACCTCCAGCCTCTAGCTCCCTCTCCCCCTGAACCCCGGGGACCCCTCACCAACCCTCCAGCCTCTAGCTCCCTGCCCCCCCTTTGCCCCCTGAACCCCGGGGACCCCTCACCAGCCCTCCAGAGAGTGAAGGAAGCGGAGCTGACATTCTGGATGGCGCAGGTGAAGGCCCCGTAGTCCTCAGCACTGGTCAGGTTGACCCCCAGGACACTGGACACAAGCACCTCTGACCGGTTGGCCTGGACCCTGAGGAGACCAGGCACCAACCTCTCATCGGGGGCCGGAGCCCCGCCCGGCGGGATGCTGAGAGCCTGCGGTGTGGCCTCCTGGGCAGCCGTTGGCCGTGGGCTGAGAGAGGTGGCAGGACTGGAGGGGGTTCGGGTCTGTCACCCTAATCCTGGGCCCGGGTCCGGGGTGCTCTGATCCCAGGCGTGGCCCAGTGGCCTCAGCACTCGGCGGGCACCATGGTCCCGGCCCGGCGGTGTGCAGAGTGCCCCTCGGGCCACGGCCTCCGTCTGGGTCAGGGGCACCGTGCCCGTGTCACGCCTGGCGGTCACGCCCAGCCACGGCCGGGCGGACAGGCCAGGGTGTGGGTCAGAGGCCAGGCCATCGGAGCCCCGGCGGTCTCTTACCAGGAGTCCTCACGGAGCTCGTAGTGGCTGCCATTGCCCAGCGGCAGCCCGTCTTTCAGCCACTGGACCGGGAGCAGCGGGCAGAGGGGCGCGGGGACCACCCAGGCCGTGCAGTTCAGAGTGACCGCGCTGCCCAGCGCAGGCGCCAGGGCCTGGCTTCCGGAAGGGGAGAGGAAGTTGGGGGGGCCTGTCGCAGGCGCCTGCAGAGAGAGGACAGGGGGGTTAGCCGCACTCAGGCCCCCTGACCTCCCATCCCTCCCGTCCACAGGGGGTCTGAGGGCTGGAGCCGCTCGGTGGTCACACCATGTCCGTCCGCGAGTCCCATGGACAATGGGGCCCGGCATCTGACCGCCCGTCCGCCCGGGACCTGAGCCCCAGGCGCAGGGCCTCGGCCCCCGCCCCGGGCGCTGCTGGGCCTGTGGGCACCGTGGTCTGGGGGACGGGCGCTGCGGGTGCCAGCACCTTCCACCTGAGAGGAACCCAGGGTCCCAGGACCCTCTGCTGACCACGGGAAGCCTGTCCAGCTCCGGAGGCCTGAGCTTCTCTTAGCACCACCCGGCCTGAGCGCGAGCAGGCGTCAGAGCACGGCCGCCGCCTGATGGCGCGGTGCCCCCTCTCCCCGCCACGCCCTGGGCCCCAGCAGCGCCCACCCACAGCCTGGGGAGGGGGAGCAGGGCCCGGGCTGGGCGGCAGCCTGGCGCCGGGGTGTGGAGGTGAGAGTGGGGCCTGCGCCCGCCCCTCTGACCCCTCTACCTGCCATGGTCCGACCGGGGCCTCCTCGGGCGAGCCGGGCACGGTGCCACCCCCGGCTCCACGGCTCCTCCGCTGGGCGGGCCGGACCCCAGGCTGGCGGGCTCGCGCGGTCTCCGTGGTGGTCAGAGGCTGCGCACCCGGGGGGCAAGGTAAACACGGACAGGGCGAGTTAACATGTAGCCTGGCACCGAGCACCGGGGCGGAGCCGCTCTGAGCCCCTTCCCCAGCCCCCAGCCACCGTGACGGCCCAGGTGGAGCAGTGGGCATCCCTCTGGCACCCTCACCCTCTCACAGCCTCTCCACTCCTCTGCACAGGGCTCCCTGCACACCTCCCCCCCCGGGTCTGTTGCACACTCACCCCCTGCACTAAGCTCCCACCGTGGCCGTGTGCACACGTGGACACTCCCCCTGCCCCCCGCCCTCTGTGGCCCACACAGTGCACACCCTGGACCAGCTCCCGCCAGGGCACAGCCAGGGGCAGCTACACGTCCCCCCACACACATGACCTCCCCCCTGGCGCACATGCAGCCTCCTGTGTCCCACACGCGCCAGGCTGACCCCTCGCCAGGCTGACCCTCACCAGGCTGACCCCTCGCCAGGCTGACCCCTCACCAGACTGACCTTCGCCAGGCTGACCCTCACCAGGCTGACCCCCGCCAGGCTGACCCTCGCCAGGCGGACCCTCGCCAGGCTGACCCTCACCAGGCTGACCCCCGCCAGGCTGACCCTCGCCAGGCTGACCCCTCGCCAGGCTGACCCTCGCCAGGCTGACCCTCGCCAGGCTGACCCCCGCCAGGCTGACCCCCGCCAGGCTGACCCCCGCCCGGCCTCAGGCCCGAAGGCCTCGGGGGGGGGGGGGCTCGGGCTCCTGCAGAGGGCAGGCCGGGGGTGGGGAGGGCGCCGGTCACCTGGTTCCGGCTCCGTCCTGCAGGCAGCGCTGGTCATGGTGTCAGTGACCTGGGCCCCGGCCCGGTCCCCCCGCGGCCGCGGGGCACAGCGGGCGAGGCCTGGCTGTGTGTGTACCTCAGGGACGCTTCCTGGCCGTGCGGTCACATCCTCTCCCGACCCTGACCCCACCCCGCGCCCACCCCGTCCGGCGGAGGTGGTTGGCCCGCCCGCCGCCCGGCCCTTCCTGTAGCTCTGAGTCAGGGCGCCTTCCTCTGGCCGCTGGGCCCGCCCGCCGCCGGGCACCGCTTCCCCCCCCCTCCCGGGCCAGCCTGCAGGGGGCGGGGGGGCGGGGCTGGGAGGAGACCGCCCCCCTGCACACACAGGAGGCCCGGGGCAGGCGGCCGGCTTCCCGCAGGCCCACAGCCCCCACGCCAGGGAGCGGGCAGCCCGTGTCTGACCTCTGACCTGCGGTGGGGGAGGGGTCCTACAGAACGGGGCGGGGGGGGGGGGCCTCCCGGTGTAGCCCCGACTGAGCAGTTACCAGTGGGCGGAGGCATCCTGTGGACCTTGGTTCCTGGCTTGGGGGCGGAGTGTGTGTGAGTGTGTGTGTGTGTGTGTGTGTGTGTGAGTGTGTGTGTGTGTGTGTGTGTGAGTGTGTGTGAGTGTGAGTGTGTGTGTGTGTGTGTGTGTGTGAGTGTGTGTGTGTGTGTGTGTGTGAGTGTGTGTGAGTGTGAGTGTGTGTGAGAGTGTGTGTGAGAGAGTGTGTGTGTGTGAGTGTGAGAGTGTGTGTGTGTGAGTATGTGTGTGAGTGTGTGTGTGAGTGTGTGTGTGTGTGTGAGTGAGTGTGTGTGAGTGTGAGTGTGTGTGAGAGTGTGTGTATGTGAGTGTGTGTGAGTGTGAGTGTGTGTGAGAGTGTGTGTGTGAGTGTGTGTGTGTGTGTGTGTGTGTGTGAGAGTGTGTGAGTGTGTGAGTGTGTGTGTGTGTGTGTGTGTGTGTGTGTGTGTGGCGGAAGCAATGCTCCCTTTTACAGGCAAGGAGGTCCGCAGGGGCCTAGCAGAGGCCAGGTGGGGGGCAGCCATGGGGGCCATCTGGGGGGGCAGCCAGGTGGAGGGCAGCCGGGAGGGGGCAGCCGGGGGGGGGGCAGCTAGCGGCTCCAGGCAGACCTGGACTCAGGGCCCAGCGACAGGTGGCTGGCACCCATGTCCACAGAAGCGGCCCTGTCCCTACCCTCACCCAGCGGGGCCACCAGCGGAGCATCTTCAATGCATTGGGTCTCGGACACCCGTCACTGACGCTGTCCCTGCCCCCAGCCCCGCCTGGCCCTCAGGAGCCCGGGTGAGGGACCAGCAGCCCCCGCCTCTCCTCCGGAGCCAGGGGCCGGAGGCTGGTACCTGTGCCCGCCCTGGTCAGCACCGCCCAGGAGCACCCGCGGTGCCCCCGCCCCCGGGGTTCAGCGCCCCGGCGGGCTGTCCCCCGTCCGTGTGCTCCTCTGGCCACCAGCGCCCTCCACCGACGCCCACCCGTCCTCCCGCCCAGGGCCCCTCCCACGTGGCCTCAGGCCCCACCGACAGCCTCCCCGCCCCGCGCCCCCGCGCCCCACCTGGGGCTCCGCAGCCGGCGCCCCCCCAGCCCGCCCGCCCGCTCCGCCTCCCCCGGGCGGCTCCCCGGGGCGGCCCTGCGCCCGGCGTCTGCGGCCGGGGACGTGCAGGGAGGCTGAGGCCAGGCCGCCGGCTCCGTCTGGTGCTCCCGCCCGCAGCCCCGCCCGCCTCCCCGGTGGACTTGGCCCGCTCCGGCGGGCGGCGGGCGGCGGGCGGGGCTCCTCCGGGCACCGGGGTGCCGGCACGTTTCTCGGTTGCTCCCCCCCCCCCCGCCTCGGGGGCTCAGGCCCAGGCCCCGTCCGGTGTGCGCCCCCCCCCCCCCCCGCCCCGCAGAGGCCACGGAAGCCGGTGAGGCCGGGCGCAGACGGCGGGGAGCGGGAGGCCCCGAGACCGAGCCGCCCGGCCTGGGCTTCCGGCCGCGGGCCCGCCCGGCTCCGAGCGCTTCCTGCGGGGCCCGCAGCCCGAGGCTCCGGCAGGTGCCCCGGCCCCCGGCCCCGGCACCGGCCCGGCCTCTGGGCGGCCTCCACTCACCGGATCGGCGACGTGCTCACCTGCCGCCGGGCGGGGCGGGCGGTCACCCGGTCAGGTGCCGCCGGTGGCAGCAGGTGCGGCCCCGCCTCCCGGGCGGCCCCGGCGCTCCCTCCCGCCCCGGCTGTCACTCAGCGCCGAGGCCGGCCTGGGGGTGGAGCGAGGGCCCCGGAGAGGCCACGGTCCCCTGTCACAGTCTGTGGTTCTGCTCCTCCCCCCCTGCTCCTCCTCCTCCAGGAAGCCGGCCGGGACTCCAGCCCCAGTCCCAGGTGTGAGTGGGGGAGGCCAGGAAGGGCCTCTCACCGGGAGGAAGCTCCTGGGAACCGGGGAGGAGGGCCCCCCCAGACCGCCTCGCCCTGAGCGCAGACACAGGCACGGAGGCCCACACGTTGGCACAAGAGGTTTTATTTTATTATAAAAAGTTCTGCTGGCTGAGGGGAGCCAGGGAGCTGGGGCCAGGGCCTCGGACTGCCTGGGGGAGGGGCGGGGGCAGAAGCCGGAGGGGGCCAGCGCGCTGCTCTTCCTGTGCTGGGACCCCATAAAAAGCGCCCCTCGGGGTGGGGGCAGGGCTCACCCAGAGTGCAAGCCTGAGCCCCAACAGATGGAGCAGACGAGGGTGCTGCCCACTGATGCCCTAGTGCCCCCCGGACTCCTCCATACACAGCCCCCCCCCGGCCCCCTCATACACAGCCCCCCCCCGGCCCCTCATGTGCACAGGCCTCCCAGGACTCCTTGTGTACACAGGCTTCCCAGGACCCCTCACATGCATGTGAGCCTTCTCACACACACACACACACACACATGTGCGCGCGCATGCCGTGAGCAGGGAGGCGGCGGTGGCGGAGGGAGGCCTGGCCCTCACACGTCCGTGCTCCTGAGGCTGGAGCTGGAGGCGGGGGTGGCCGCCCACCGGGGCCCCCCGCACCACATCCGGTCCCGCAGCTCATCATACTTGTCCTCCAGCACCTTGTTCTTCACCGACTGCGGCACGTCCGGCACGAACCAGGCGGCCACGAGCTTGATGCACAGCGCCACGTGCTGGGGGGGGGCGGAGTGAGGGCCACGCGGGGGGGAGTGAGGGCCACGTGCTGGGGGGGGGCGGAGTGAGGGCCACGCGGGGGGGGGAGTGAGGGCCACGCGGGGGGGGAGGGAGGGCCATGCGGGGGGGGCGGAGTGAGGGCCACGCGGGGGGGAAGTGGGGCCACGGGGGGAGTGAGGGCCACGTGCTGGGGGGGCCGGAGTGAGGGCCACGGCTGGGGGGGGGGGAGTGAGGGCCACGTGCGGGGGGGGGAGTGGAGGGTCCACGGGGGGGGGGGAGTGAGGGCCACGCGGGGGGGGGGAGTGTGAGGGCCACGCTGGGGGGGGGGAGTGAGGGCCACGTGCTGGGGGGGGGGCGGGAGTGTGAGGGCCCGCGCGGGGGGGGGGGGAGTGAGGGCCAGTGGGGGGGGGGCGGAGTGTGAGGCCACGCGGGGGGGGAGTGAGGGCCCGGGGGGGCGGAGTGAGGTCCACGCGGGGGGGGAGGGGGGGGGGAGTGAGGGCCACGCGGGGGGGGGGAGTGAGGGCCACGAGGGGGGGGGGGAGTGGGGCCCCGCGGGGGGGGGGAGATGAGGGGCCACGCGGGGGGGGGGGGGAGTGAGGGGCGAGGTGGGGGGGGGGTGAGGGGGAGTGGGAGGGGAGGGGAGGGGGAGGGGGAGGGGGCGGCGAAGGGGGAGGGGAGGGGAGGGAGGAGGGGGGGGAGGGGGCAGGCTCGGGGGGGGGCAGGGGCGAGGGGGAGGGGGAGGGGAGGGGGAGGGGGAGTGGGAGGCGGAGGGGAGGGGGAGGGGGATGGGGAGGCGGAGGGGAGGCGGAAGGGGACGGGGGAGGGAGGGGGAGGCGGAGGCGGAGGGGGAGGGGGCGGAGGGGAGGACCCGCCCCGCCCACCTCGAACAGGATCAGGAAGGCCAGGCGGACGGCCAGGAGGATCCAGAACTGCTCCGAGAAGTTGTAGTCCTCCGCATTGCGGTAATCCCGGTACCTGGGATGGGCAAGGCCTGAGGTCAGGGGTCAGGAGTTCAGAGAGCACCCATGGGGGTCGCGGGGAGAGGGGGTCCAGACCTGCATTCGGTGATGCTGATGTTCTCGGGGCCCTTTATCCGGCCGGGGTCCCGGAAGTGCTCGGTGTGGAACACGGACAGGCTGTGGTTGATGTAGCCGGTGAGGCAGCTGCGGGGGAGACGGGCTGGCTGCGGCCGTGGGTGCGTCCCGGGGCCGGCTCCTGCCGCTGGGACACCAGAGGGGGGCCCGGCGGACCCTCCTCACTCCTCCGCGTGGGAGAGGCCGGGGGCTGAGGGGCTCCGGTGCCACCCCCTCCTCCCTGCTGAAGGCTGGGGAGCCTTAGGTGGCACTCTCACTTTTATTTTTCTTAATGTATTTTGTTGATTTTTTTGCAGAGAGGAAGGCAGAGGGACAGTTAGAAACATCGACGAGAGAGAAACAGCGGTCAGCTGCCTCCTGAACACCCCCCATTGGGGATGTGCCCGCAACCAAGTCACATGCTCTTGTCCGGAATCGAACCCAGGACCCTTCAGTCTGCAGGCCGACGCTCCAGCCACTGAGCCACACCGGTTTCGGCTTGGGTGGGACTCTTGTGCCGAGCAGGCCAGCAAGGGTCTGACTTTGGGGGGGCAGGTGTCAGTGCCTGCTCAGCGAACAGCGGGCTCTGGGGCCTGAGTCCCCCTCCGGGGTCCCGGTCAGCACCCTGGCCCCGCCCCGGTCCACAGGGCAGGGAGAGGCAGCATTGGCAGCACTGAGCCTCCCCCCACCCCCACTCCCCTTGCTGAGCTGTGGCTGGGCCGGTCCCCCCCTCCCGCCCCGGCCCCTTACTCTGCCGAGGAGCGGTTGCCATGCCGGCAGGGGCCGTAGCGGTACTTGTACACCACCCTGGGGATGAACTCGGACGTGAAGGCGATGACCATCCCGTTGACGATGACCGCCAGCACGCCGATGGTCTCCAGCACCTGCAGCCAGGTCCCTGCAGCGGGCCGAGCGCGGCGAGAGGCCGTCTGAGTCCCCCTCCGCCGTCCAGCCCCACGCCGAGCGCCGAGGGCCTGGTCCCGTCGCTGGGACGGCTCCCGCCCGCAGCAGCCCGGGGCCGGCCCCGTGGGGAGGCCTTCCCGCCGGCTCCCCTGGCCGGACACCCACGCAGGGCCCCGGGCTGCCGCCTCCCGGTCCGTCTGAGCCCTCAGCTGCCCCCAAGCTGCTCTGCCCCCCAGGTCCCCACCCCAGGCGGAGCCCTGAGCCACAGACCAGGCCTCTCTCACCGGTCCCCCCTCCGGCCGCTCCCTGCCCCAGCCCGCCATCCGCCCTGACCCCTGCCGGCCCAGTGCGGCCAGCCCGGCCCCGCCCTCAGTCCCTCCACCGGCTCCCCGGCCTGCGGTGAGGGAGGGAGCAGCCGCCGCTCAGCTCACCGATGTCCTTGGCCTTGCGAGGCACCAGGCGCCTCCGCAGCCGCACCATCTTGATGGCGTCCAGGCGGATCTCCACCAGGTTGCTGAAGAGGGCCAGCAGCGGGGCCAGCGGGAAGGCGGCCACGAAGATGGTGGTGAAGCCGTACTGGATCACTGCGGGGTGTGTGTGTGTGTGTGTGTGTGTGCTCAGGCCCCGGCCCCGGCTCCCCCCCCAGCCCAGCCCCCCGGCCCCCGACTCCCCCCCCAGCCCAGCCCCCCGGGCCCCCAGCCCCCGGCTCCCACCCCCGGCACCCCCCCAGCCCAGCCCCCCCAGCCCCTGGCCTCCGGCCCCCCGGCTTCCCCCCAGCCCGGCCCCCCGCCCCCCGGCCCTGGCCCCCAGCCCCCGGCTCCCCCCCAGCCCAGCCCCCTGGCCCCGGCCCCCGGCTCCCCCCCCCAGCCCAGCCCCCCGGCCCCCAACTCCCCCCCAGCCCAGCCCCCCGCCCCCGCCCCCGGCCCCGGCTCCCCCCCAGCCCGGCCCCCGGCTCCCGGGCCCCCACCCCCGGCCCCCGGCCCCCGGCCCCCGGCCCCCCGGCCCCCGGCCCCCGGCCCCCGGCCCCCAGCCCCCGCCCCGGCCCCCGGCCCCCCGGCCCCCGGCCCCCGCCCCGGCCCAGCCCGCACGCACTCATCTCCATGAACTCGTCGAACAGGCTGAAGGTGTGCACGCGGTTCAGGCGGTAGTTGCGCTGCCAGTCCCTCAGCTCGGGGTCCCGGGCCTCGCTGCCCCGCAGGGAGCGGCACTTGTGGGCCAGCCACCTGCGGGCGGAGCGGGGGCGGGAGCTGGGTGGGCCCGGCGGCGGAGCAGGGGCGGGAGCTGGGTGCGGGGAGCTGGGTGCGGGGAGCTGGGTGGGCCGGGCGGCGGAGCGGGGGCGGGAGCTGGGTGCGGGGAGCTGGGTGGGCCAGCCCACCTGCGGGCGGAGCGGGGGCGGGGAGCTGGGTGGGCCGGGCGGCGGAGCGGGGGCGGGGAGCTGGGTGGGCCGGCGGCGGAGCGGGGGCGGGGAGCTGGGTGGGCCAGCCACCTGCGGGCGGAGCGGGGGCGGGAGCTGGGTGGGCCCGGCGGCGGAGCAGGGGCGGGGAGCTGGGTGCGGGAGCTGGGTGGGCCGGGCGGCGGAGCAGGGGCGAGGAGCTGGGTGCGGGGAGCTGGGTGGGCCGGGCGGCCGGCGGAGCGGGGGCGGGGAGCTGGGTGGGCCAGCCACCTGCGGGCGGAGCGGGGGCGGGAGCTGGGTGGGCCGGGCGGCCAGCGGAGCGGGGCCGGGGAGCTGGGTGCGGGGAGCTGGGTGGGCCGGGCGGCGGACGGGGAGGGTGCGGAGGGGGAGGGAGGGCCGAGAGGGGTCCTCACGGGGTCAGGTACTCTATGCAGTTGCTGAGCGTCTGCTTCAGACCCATGATGATGGCCATCTGCACGAACAGGTCCATCATGCAGCCGCTGAGGTGGCACTGTGGGGAGGGGCGGTCAGGGGGAGGGGGCAGGGGGAGGGCGGGGAGGGGGCAGGAGGCATCAGGGCAGACTGACCTCCTCCAGCTTCCACAAGCCGGCCAGGCGCACGGAGTTCCCGGGGTGACCGTTGATCCTGGAGGGACGGGAGGCTGAGCCGGCACGCTGCCCCAGCGGGGGGGGGGCAGAAAGGGGGGTGACGAGGGATGGGGGGCAGGAAGAGGGGGTGTGGTGACAAGGGGCCGGGGAGGAAGAGAAGGCGGCTGCTCCATGGCTCTCTCCCATCGTTGATCTTCTCCCTCTCCCTCTCTCCCTCCCCCCTCCCTCTTCCCCTCCCCCTCCCTCTCCCTCTCCCCATCCCCCTCTCCCTCCCTGTCCTTCTCCCTCTCCCTCCCTCCCTCTCCCTCCGTCTCTCCCCCTCCTCCTTTCCCCCTCTAAGACGAAGGAGCCGGCAGTGTGTGTAGGGAGAGCCTGCGGGCTGCGGGGGGCTCACCGGCCCAGGATGAAGGCGATGTAGACGAGGGAGGAGAAGTGGGCGAAGAACTGCAGCGTGAAGAACTTCACCGTGAACTTGCTCTCGCGCTCCGAGAAGGTCCTGGACTTCTCTGCGAGGGCAGGGCTGTCACCTCCCTCCAGGGGGCGCCCGCCTCCCTCCTGCTCAGACCCTCACCCCCCCCCCCCCGCCTCCCTCCTGCTCAGACCCTCACACCCCCCCCCCCGCCTCCCTCCTGCTCAGACCCTCACCCCCCCCCGTCCTCCCTCCTGCTCAGACCCTCACCCCCCCCCGTCCTCCTCCTGCTCAGACCCTCACCCCCCCCCGTCCTCCCTCCTGCTCAGACCCTCACCCCCCCCCCCCCTCCCTCCTGCTCAGACCCTCACCCCCCGCCCCGCCTCAGACCCTCACATCCCCCCCCCCCGCCTCAGACCCTCACACACACACACACACACCCTTCGTGTCCACCTCCCGCCTCCCGGGCAGGCGGCCTCTCACCGTAGTCACAGAGCTTCAGCGCCACGTACTTGTTGACCTGCGGGCGAGACGGGGGCTCGCTGGGGGCTGGGGGCTGGGGGCTGGGGCTGGGGACTGGGCTGGGGCTGGGGCTGGGGGCTGGGGCTGGGGCTGGGGCTGGGGCTGGGGGCTGGGGGCTGGGGTTTGGGGCTGGGGCTGGGGCTGGGGCTGGGGGCTGGGGCCTGGGCCGGGGGCTGGGGGCTGGGGGCTGGGGTTTGGGGCTGGGGCTGGGGCTGGGGCTGGGGGCTGGGGCTGGGGGCTGGGGCTGGGGCTGGGTTTGGGGGCTGGGGGTTGGGGCTGGGGCTGGGGCGGGGGCTGGGGCTGGGGGCTGGGGCTGGGGCTGGGGCTGGGGCTGGGTTGGGGGGCTGGGGGGGCTGGGCTGGGGCTGGGGCTGGGGCTGGGTTTGGGGGCTGGGGGGTTGGGGCTGGGGCTGGGACTGGGGCTGGGGGCTGGGGCCGGGGCCGGGGCTGGGTTTGGGGGCTGGGGGTTGGGGCTGGGGCCGGGGGCTGGGGCCGGGGCTGGGGGCTGGGTTTGGGGGCTGGGGGTTGGGGCTGGGGCCGGGGGCTGGGGCGGGGCTGGGGGCTGGGTTGGGGGCGGGGCTGGGGGCTGGGTTTGGGGGCTGGGGCTGGGGCTGGGGCAGGGGCTGGGGCTGGGGGCTGGGGCTGGGGCAGGGGCCGGGGCTGGGTTTGGGGGCTGGGGCTGGGCCTGGGGGCGGGGCTGGGGGCTGGGTTTGGGGGCTGGGGCTGGGGCTGGGGCAGGGGCTGGGGGCTGGGGGCTGGGTTTGGGGGCCGGGGCTGGGGCTGGGGCTGGGGCTGGGGGCTGGGGGTTGGGGCTGGGGCTGGGGGCGGGGGCCGGGGCCGGGGCTGGGGGCTGGGGCCGGGGCTGAGTTTGGGGGCTGGGGCCGGGGCCGGGGCTGGGGGCTGCAGGCCCAGCAGAGCCCCCCACCCCCCGCGCACCTTGGTCATGACGAGAATGGTCACGTAGTGCACCAGGGCCCCGGACACCACCACGGCCGTGGTCACCTGCTCCTCCAGGAAGGGCAGGGCGGAGCTGCTGAAGACGGCGGCGGCCGCCACGCGGTACACCACCAGCACGTGCGCCATGCCGATCATGAGGCCGATCTGCGGGCGGCGTCAGCGGTGGCCGCCTGGGTCCCCCCCCCCCCGCCCGGGTTCGGGGCCTGCCATGAGCAGGGACAGGGCCAGGATGATGGTGCCCCCCCGGCCCCGGCCCCGGGTTCGAGGCGTGCCATGAGCAGGGACAGGGCCAGGATGATGGTGCCCCACCCCCACCCCGGCCCCGGGTTCGGGGCGTGCCATGAGCAGGGACAGGGCCAGGATGATGGTGCCCCCCCCCCCCGGCCCCGGGTTCGAGGCGTACCATGAGAGGGACAGGGCCAGGATGATGGTGCCCCCCCGGCCTCGGGTTCGAGGCGTACCATGAGAGGGCCAGGGCCAGGATGATGGTGCGCCCCCCCCGGCCCCGGGTTCGAGGCGTACCATGAGCAGGGCCAGGGCCAGGATGATGGTGCTCCCCCCCCGGCCCCGGGTTCGGGGCATGCCATGAGCAGGGCCAGGGCCAGGATGATGGTGCCCCCCCGGCCCCGGGTTCGAGGCGTACCATGAGCAGGGACAGGGCCAGGATGATGGTGCTCCCCACCCGGCCCCGGGTTCGAGGCGTACCATGAGCAGGGACAGGGCCAGGATGATGGTGCTCTTCAGGTAGGAGTGCTGGTGCCGCTGCAGCTTGTAGTCCGGGCAGTTAATGAGCTCCAGCGCCACCTCCTCCTGGGGACCGGGATCGCCCGGGCACGGCACACGCCTCAGACACGGCACACGCCTCAGGCACGGCACACGCCTCAGACACGGCACACGCCTCAGACATGGGAACACACATCATACATGAGCACACGCCTCAGACACTTGCACACACCTTATACATGGGACGTGCCTCGGACATGGGACATGCACAGACACGGAACATGCCTCAGACACGGCACACGCCTCAAGCACAGGCCACAGGCCACAGACCTGAGAACACATGCCTCGGACACAGGATACAGGCCTCAGGCACGGGCACACACAGGTGGGAGCACACACAGCACAGAGCAGGCGCTGGCTCGCACCCCTGCACCCCCTCACTCCCCCACTCCCCACCCCCGGCCTCACCTGGTCCTCGTCCCACCCGTACAGGTGCCAGTGCAGCACCACACGCGCCCGCTGCCGCTTCCAGAACTCCAGGAACACCGTGGCTGCGGGGGGCACAGGCGGGGGGTCACAGGCGGGGGGGGCACAGGCGGGGGGTCACAGGCGGGGGGTCACAGGCGGGGGTCCACAGGCGGGGGGGTCACAGGGGGGGGGGTCACAGCGTGGGGGGGTCACAGCGTGGGGGGGTCACAGCGGGGGGGTCACAGGCGGGGGGTCACAGGCGGGGGGGCACAGGCGGGGGGTCACAGTGTGTGGGGGTCACAGGCGGGGGGGTCACAGGCGGGGGGGCACAGGCAGGGGGGCACAGGCGGGGGGGCACAGGCGGGGGGGCACAGTGTGGGGGGGGCACAGCGTGGGGGGGGCACAGCGTGGGGGGGTCAAAGGCAGGGGGGCACGGGCGGGGGGGGCACAGGCGGGGGGGGCACAGCGTGGGGGGGGCACAGCGTGGGGGCCGGCGGGGGCAGAGCCTGGAGTTCACCCCGGGCGCCCGCAGCCACTCACCCCACAGGGCCATGAAGATGGCGAAGATGACGGTGCCCTCGTTGTCGAAGAGATGGGTGAGCTGGGAGAGGGACAGGCAGGATGGGTGCCGCCCCCGCCCCCACCCCCACCCCACTCCGGGCGGCCCCCCCCCCGCCCCCGCCTCCCCGGCCCCCACCCCACGCCGGGCGCCCCCGCCCCCGCCCCCGCCCCCCCCTGCCCCCACCCCACTCCGGGCGCCCCCGCCCCCAGCCCCGCCCCCGCCCCCCACCCCACTCCGGGCGCCCCACCCGCCCCCGCCCCCCACCCGCCCCGGCAGGAGCAGCGGGCAGGGGCGCAGGGCGGCGGGCGCAGACCTTGGCGAAGGTGCAGGTGTCTGAGAGGCGCTGGTACTGCCGGCGGTGGTCGCCCCGCGGGCACATGAAGATGTCGTGGGCCTCACAGATCTCCTTGCTGGGCACAGGCGCCGGGCTGGCACGGCTCTTCCCCCCCCCGGTCCCCATCCGGACCCCCGGTCTCGTCCCGACCCCCTCCTCCCCGTCCCGACCCCCCTCCTCCCCATCCTGACCCCCTCCTCCCCGTCCTGACCCCCTCCTCCCCATCCTGACCCCCTCCTCCCCGTCCTGACCCCCTCCTCCCCGTCCTGACCCCCTCCTCCCTGTCCCGACCCCACTCCTCCCCGTCCCGACCCCCTCCTCCCCGTCCCGACCCCCTCCTCCCCGTCCTGACCCCCCCCCTGTCCTGACCCCACTCCTCCCACTCCTGACCCCCTCCTCCCCATCCGTGACCCGTCCACCCAGTTCAGTCCCCACCCCCACCCCCCACTTCTGGGGGACCCGCCTGCTCCTCCCGCACATCGCCCGCCCGCCCACCTGATCTGGCTGGCATTGAAGAGCGAGAAGCCGCTCAGGAACACGATGAGGCCCACCAGGGCAGCCGGCACCAGCATGTAGGTGTACCAGCCCAGCCAGGCGAAGTACAGGGCCACCTTCTCGCCAAAGTAGTTCCTGCGGGCACAGCACCGTCAGACCGCCCACCAGGCGCGTCCCAGCCAGTGCCAGGCGGGCATGGGGCGGCCAAGGAGTCTGTACTGACAGCACATTCGCTAGGGGTACAGGGGTGTCTGTGGGGGCAGGTGTTTGTGGGCACATAGGTGTCTCTTTGGGGTACAGAGTGTGTAAGGGGCACAGGGGTCTGGGCACAGAGGGCTGGGATCAGGGGGCTGGGCACAGGGGGCTGGGATCAGGGGACTGGGCACCGGATGGCTGTGACGGGGGCACAGGGGTCTGGGCTCAGGGGTCTGGGCACAGGGGTCTGGGCACAGGGGGCTGGGCACAGGGGTCTCAGCTCAGGGGTCTGGGCACAGGGGGCTGGGATCAGGGGTCTCGGCTCAGGGGGTTGGGATCAGGGGACTGGGCACCGGATGGCTGTGACGGGGGCACAGGGGTCTCGGCTCAGGGGGCTGGGCACAGGGGGCTGTGACGGGGCCCGGTGGGGCTGGGGCAGGATCACCTGATGTCGTCGATGGGCTGCTCACGGAACATGTTCCTCCAGCGCGCCCACTTCCTCTGGAGGTGCTCCTCCCGCTGCACAGGGCTGAGTGAGGCCTCCCGCCCGGCCCGGCCAGCCCCCGGCCCAGCCCCAGGCCGAGCCCCCGGCCCAGCCTCTGGCCCAGCCCCCGGCCCAGCCCCCGGCCCAGCCTCCCCTGACTCCAGCCCCCGGCCCAGCCCCCGGCCCAGCCCAGCCTCCCCTGACTCCAGCCCCCGGCCCAGCCCAGTCCCAGCCCCCGGCCCAGCCTCTGGCCCAGCCCCCGGCCCAGCCCAGCCTCCCCTGACTCCAGCCCCCGGCCCAGCCCAGTCCCAGCCCCCGGCCCAGCCCCAGGCCCAGCCCAGCCTCCCCTGACTCCAGCCCCCGGCCCAGCCCAGTCCCAGCCCCCGGCCCAGCCCCTGACCCAGCCCCCGGCCCAGCCCCCGGCCCAGCCCCTGACTCCAGCCCCCGGCCCAGCCCAGTCCCAGCCCCCGGCCCAGCCTCCAGCCCAGCCTCCGGCCCAGCCCCCGGCCCAGCCCCCGGCCCAGCCCCTGGCCCAGCCCCCGGCCCAGCCTCTGGCCCAGCCCCCGGCCCAGCCCCTGACCCAGCCCCTGACCCAGCCCCTGACCCAGCCTCTGGCCCAGCCCCTGGCCCAGCCCCCGGCCCAGCCCCCGACCCAGCCCCCGGCCCAGCCTCTGGCCCAGCCCCCGGCCCAGCCCAGTCCCAGCCCCCGGCCCAGCCCCTGACCCAGCCCCTGGCCCAGCCCCCGGCCCAGCCCAGTCCCAGCCCCCGGCCCAGCCCCAGGCCCAGCCCAGCCTCCCCTGACTCCAGCCCCCGGCCCAGCCCAGTCCCAGCCCCCGGCCCAGCCCCTGACCCAGCCCCCGGCCCAGCCCCCGGCCCAGCCCCTGACTCCAGCCCCCGGCCCAGCCCAGTCCCAGCCCCCGGCCCAGCCTCCAGCCCAGCCTCCGGCCCAGCCCCCGGCCCAGCCCCCGGCCCAGCCCCTGGCCCAGCCCCCGGCCCAGCCTCTGGCCCAGCCCCCGGCCCAGCCCCTGACCCAGCCCCTGACCCAGCCCCTGACCCAGCCTCTGGCCCAGCCCCTGGCCCAGCCCCCGGCCCAGCCCCCAACCCAGCCCCCGGCCCAGCCTCTGGCCCAGCCCCCGGCCCAGCCCAGTCCCAGCCCCCGGCCCAGCCCCTGACCCAGCCCCTGGCCCAGCCCCCGGCCCAGCCCCTGGCCCAGCCCAGTCCCAGCCCAGTCCCAGCCCCCGGCCCAGCCCCCGACCCAGCCCCCGGCCCAGCCCCCGGCCCAGCCCCCGGCCCAGCCCCCGGCCCAGCCCCCGGCCCAGCCCCCGACCCAGCCCCCGGCCCAGCCCCCGGCCCAGCCTCCGGCCCAGCCTCCGGCCCAGCCCCCGGCCCAGCCTCCGGCCCAGTCCCCGGCCCAGCCCCCGGCCCAGCCCCCGGCCCAGCCTCCAGCCCAGCCTCCGGCCCAGCCCCCGGCCCAGCCCCTGGCCCAGCCCCCGGCCCAGCCCCCGGCCCAGCCCCCCACCCAGCCCCCGGCCCAGCCCCCGCCGGCCCCACCCGCCCTCACCTTGTGCAGTGGAAACTGGGTCTCAAACACCCGGTCCTTCACCAGGTCCTCGAATGTGTCTGACGGTCACAGGAGCCTCAGGTCAGGGGGGACCCGGCCACATCCTCCACCACCGCCCCCACGGCTGCCGCCCCGGTCCTCACCGCCCGCTGCCGTGCTGCGGTTCAGGATGAAGCTGACGATCCGGATTCTGAAACCCAGGGCGGCACCTGTAACCGAGGTGGGCGCCTGCCCGCCAGGCCCCGCCCAGCTGCCGGGGGAGCCCGCCCCCTGCCCCCCCCCCCCGCCCAGCAGACCCGGGCCCTCCTGAGCCCCCCTGTCCCCCCGCCGAGCAGACCCAGGCCCTCCTGAGCCCCCCTGCCTCCCCGCCCAGCAGACCCAGGCCCTCCTGAGCCCCACTGCCTCCCCGCCCAGCAGACCCAGGCCCTCCTGAGCCCCCCTGCCTCCGGAGCCCCCCTGTCCCCCCCGCCGAGCAGACCCGGGCCCTCCTGAGCCCCCCTGCCCCCCCCCGCCGAGCAGACCCGGGCCCTCCAGAGCCCCCCTGTCCCCCCGCCGAGCAGACCCAGGCCCTCCTGAGCCCCCCTGCCCCCCCCGCCCAGCAGACCCGGGCCCTCCGGAGCCCCCCTGCCTCCGGAGCCCCCGCCCAGCAGACCCGGGCCCTCCGGAGCCCCCCTGTCCCCCCCGCCGAGCAGACCCAGGCCCTCCTGAGCCCCCCTGCCCCCCCCCCCGCCCAGCAGACCCGGGCCCTCCGGAGCCCCCCTGCCTCCGGAGCCCCCCTGTCCCCCCCGCCGAGCAGACCCAGGCCCTCCTGAACCCCCCTGCCCCCCCCCCGCCCAGCAGACCCGGGCCCTCCGGAGCCCCCCTGCCTCCGGAGCCCCCGCCAGGGTGCAGCCCTCGTGGCCCCAGCTGGCTCTGCCTGGAGCGGGCCTCTCCTCCGAGCAGACCCGGGGCCTGGCCTGACCCCACCTCCAGCCGCACTTCCTCCCGGAGCCCCCCGCCCGCAGCTGCAGGATCGAACCCTCCCTGCCCCATGGGACGGGCTCAGACGGCTGGGGCCTGCCCAGCCACACAGCTGGGAGGGGCCCGCACTCCGCCCGAGCCTTCTGCTGTGAGACCTGGTCCCGGCCCTCCCAGGGCCCTCACACACGCTCTCTCCACTGAGCCACACCGGCCAGGCTCTTTTTTATTTTAATGTATTTTTTTATTGATTTCAGAGAAAGGAAGGGAGAGGGAGAATGAAATAGAAACATCACTGATGAGAGAGAATCACTGATCGGCTGCCTCCTGCACGCCCCCCACTGAGGAGGGAGCCCGAAACCCAGGCCTGTGCCCTGATCAGACTCGAACCGTGACCTCCTGGGTCCATGGCCGGCGCCTGCCACACTGTGAGTAACTTTCAGAACTTCCCAGAGGGAGAGTGTCCCACCTTCCCAGGTGGGAGCGGACACAGGCCGGGCGGCGCAGCGGGCGGTGCAGCGGGCGGGGAGGGGCGGGAGTCCGCTGCTCACCTGGTGGTGTCCCGCATGAGCAGCGGCTGGGCGGCCTGCGGTCTGGGGGCCGGGCCCTCGGGCTCCATGAGGAGCGTGCGGTACTGGCCGAAGATCCTGCTGTCCGCTCGGATGCCGAAGAACACCTTCTCCCGGTCCTTCTTCACCTGGCGGCCGCGGGCTCTCTGTTCCACTGGGACCGCCCCTCCATCCTCACCGCAGGCACCGCCCCTCCATCCTCACCGCAGGCACCGCCCCCAGCGCCCCCAGAGCCCTCCGGGCCCTGCACCGGGCCTGTCCACCCCCAGCCCCCTCCCACCCGCCCCCCGGGCACCGGGCCTATCCGCTGCCCCCAGCCCCCTCCCGCCCACCCCGGGCACCGGGCCTGTCCGCCCCTAGCCCCCTCCCACCCGCCCCGGGCACTGGGCCTGTCCGCCCCCAGCCCCCTCCCGCCCCCCGGGCACCGGGCCTGTCCGCCTCCCCCAGCCCCCTACCGCCCCCCGGGCACCGGGCCTGTCCGCCCCCAGCCCCCTCCCGCCCCGGGCAGACCAGCCCACCTTGTACTGGAAGCCCTTGGCCTGCAGGTGCCTGAGGAACTGCCGCTGCCGGAGGACCTGCCCGGGGTCCCGCTGGGTGCGGCAGTCGGCCACCAGCACGTAGTCCGTCTGCGTCTGGTCCGGGCGGCCAGGCTGAGGAGGGAGGCGGGGCTGGGCACGGGGAGTGGACGGAGGGCCGAGGCCGGAGGGTGGAGCCAGACTCACCTCAGGAGCGCCCATGTCCAGGAGGGGGTGGCTGTCCGCTCCCCTCCCCACCACGATCTGGAGTCTCTCTTCACCCTGGGGGGCGGGGGTGTGAGCGCTGCTCGGCACCTGGGCTCCCCGTAACCGCGAGGGGCGTGGCGGACGGGGAGGCCCCTGGGCTGGAGGGCTCCGAGGACAGATGGCGAAGGTCTGAGCCCGGGAAAGACAGCCCAGCGCCGGGCTGCACCTGGGGGTTCCGTCTGTTTGCTCCTGCTGACCCTCCTCCGAGGCTGTTTCCATCGATCTTTTATTTTTTTATTTTTTAAAATATATTTTATTGCCAAAACCGGTTTGGCTCAGTGGATAGAGCGTCGGCCTGCGGACTGAAGGGTCCCGGGTTCGATTCCGGTCAAGGGCATGTACCTTGGTTGCGGGCTCATCCCCAGTGGGAGGTGTGCAGGAGGCAGCTGACCAATGTTTCTCTCTCATCGATGTTTCTAACTCTCTATCCCTCTCTCTTTCTCTCTGTAAAAAAATCAATAAAATATATTTAAAAACAAGCAAACAAACAAAAACCTGGGACCCTTTGGTCCGCAGGCCAACGCTCTATCTACTGAGCCACACCGGCCAGGGCCCGCTCCTCATTTTGACCAGGGCCCGGGCACTGGGCGCCGAGGTCAGGGGGAGCAGCCCGCTCTGGATGTGTAACTCCTTCTACAGGGGACCCCGTGCCGAACCCCTGAGCAGGGGAAGCGGGAGGGGGGACTGAGACAGGGCCCCGGGCCCCCGTGGGGAGCCAGGCGGCTGGCGTGGGGACAAGGTCACCGACGGTCACCGGGGAGCCCTGAGCTGAGGGGCAGGGCCAGGGCCTGGCCTCGGAGCCCAGAGTCACACGGCCTCAGGCGAGATCGATCACCCACCTCCTCAGCCTCGTCGGGGACAGGGCCACTCCCCCCCCCGCGGCCCCATGCCCGCACCAGGCCCCCGCGGCCCCCGCACCGCGCCCAGCACGCCCAGCGGGCACGGGTGACGGACCTCAGCCCGCACCCCGGCGGGCGGGCGGCCCCCGGGGGAAGGGTTTCGGGGACAACCCAGGGGCACAGTCCCTCAGAGGACCCGCCGCATACCAACCGCTGGCCGGTCTGGGCACCCCACCACGGCCTCCCCCTGACCCAGGCTTCTGCCCGAGCCCCGCCCTCGGAGGCCCCGCTCCCTGCCCCACGCCAGCCGCCCACGGCCGAGACTGCGTCCTGCGGGCGCCCCACCTGCGAGCCCGGCCCTCCTCCCCACATTCCTGCCCAGCGAGCGCAAGCACGCCTCCTCCGAAGGCGCCTCCTCACAAGGCCGCCCGGACTGCCCCAGCCAGTCCGCCCCGGCTGCCAGGGAGGTGCAGGCCGCCCGGCCGCCCATGCGGGTTTCAGACAAACAAGGTCCCTGTGCGTCAGTGAGTCCGTGTTGTTATCCTCCGGGGGTTCGCCTCCCGCCCGGAGTCGGGGGTTCGCCTCCCACCGGAGTCTGGGGGTTCGCCTCCCGCCCGGAGTCCGGGGGTTCGCCTCCCGCCCGGAGTCGGGGGGTTCAGCTTCCCGCCCGGAGTCTGGGGGTTCGCCTCCCGCCCGGAGTCTGGGGGTTCAGCTTCCCGCCCGGAGTCTGGGGGTTCGCCTCCCGCCCGGAGTCTGGGGGTTCGCCTCCCGCCCGGAGTCTGGGGGTTCACCTCCCGCCCGAGTCTGGGGGTTCGCCTCCCGCCGGAAGTCTGGGGTTCGGCTTCCCGCCCGGAGTCTGGGGGTTCGCCTCCCGCCCGGAGTCTGGGGGTTCACCTCCCGCCCGGAGTCTGGGGGTTCGCCTCCCACCAGGAGTCCGGGGGTTCGCCTCCCGCCCGAGTCTGGGGGTTCGCCTCCCGCCCGGAGTCTGGGGGTTCACCTCCCGCCCGGAGTCTGGGGGTTCGCCTCCCGCCCGGAGTCAGGGGTTCGCCTCCCGCCCGGAGTCGGGGGTTCGCCTCCCACCCAGAGTCTGGGGGTTCGCCTCCCACCGGAGTCCGGGGGTTCGCCTCCCACCCGAGTCTGGGGGTTCGCCTCCCGCCGGAGTCTGGGGTTCGGCTTCCCGCCCGGAGTCTGGGGGTTCGCCTCCCGCCCGGAGTCCGGGGGTTCGCCTCCCGCCCGGAGTCCGGGGGTTCGCCTCCCGCCCGGAGTTGGGGGTTCGCCTCCCGCCGGAGTCTGAGGGTTCAGCTTCCCGCCCGGAGTCGGGGGTTCGCCTCCCGCCGGAGTCGGGGGTTCGCCTCCCGCCGGAGTCGGGCGGGGCTGGGAATGCGGCCTCTGTCCGGCCCTGCCGGTCTGGCTCCAGGTGGCCGGCAGGGCCAGCACCTCGGCTGGGCAGATGGCACCACCACCCAGCCAGGCCGGAGGCCTACACGGAGCACACGCGTGACACCACGTCAGCTGCACACGGACGCATGAGCGCCTCCCCCTATCTCCGAGGATCACATCACTCATCCAGCGAGGGGACACCTGCCCCCCTCCCTGAGCAAACACCCCCGCCCCCCCCCGCCTCTGTGCTTCTGAAGCAGTCTGCCCTCCCTCCTCCCTGCCCCCCGCGACCCCTCTGTATGTCACTGTGGATTCACTGTGTGCTGCCCACCATGGCCCCTGGCCCCGTGTGAGGTGGGGGGGCACTGGGCTCTGGGGGGCCGGCACCTACAGCCGGGAGGCGGGTGCCTGGAGCGTGGCCATGGGGGGCAAGAGGCTGGCAGGAGGCAAGAACGTGGGAGTGGTTCCTGGGGAGGGAAGCAGGCTCTGAGGAGAGCAAGCAACTGGTGTCCAGGGACTCAGTACCAGCACCTCAAGGGTTTGGTACTCAGTACTCCCAGGACCCAGTATTCCCAGGGACTCAGTACCAGCACTTCTGAGGGTTTGGTACTTAGTACTTTCCAGAACTCAGTACTCCCAGGGACTCAGTACCAGCACCTCTGAGGGTTTGGTACTTAGTACTTTCCAGAACTCAGTACTCCCAGGGACTCAGTACCAGCACCTCTGAGGGTTTGGTACTTAGTACTTTCCAGAACTCAGTACTCCCAGGGACTCAGTACCAGCACCTCTGAGGGTTTGGTACTTAGTACTTTCCAGAACTCAGTACTCCCAGGACTCAGTACCAGCACCTCTGAGGGTTTGGTACTTAGTACTTTCCATAACTCAGTACTCCCAGGGACTCAGTACCAGCACCTCCGAGACTGGGCAGCGCCTGCTCCCAGGGACGCACTCGGGCTGGGGAGAGGTGGCTGCTCTTTGGGGCCTGGTCCTCAGCTCGGCTCCGGGGCGCGGAGGGCGTGCTGGGAGCTGGGGCTGCTGAGTGGGCAGGGCCACGCCACGAGGACCGCCCGTGCGGGAGCCCGGACCGCGTGGGGCCCGGGAGGGGTCTGGGCAGGGGGCCGGGGCCGGGGCCGGGGCTGGCATGGCTGCCTGTCTGCCCTGCTTTCAAAGGGTTAATTCTCCCGCCTCCGCGGAGCCAGGCGCTGCCCCCACCCACCCGCTGCCCCCCACCCACCGAAGCCGCTCCCCACCCGCAGGGCCTGACCCTCAGCCCAGAGGGGCAGCGGAGCCTGGGGCCCCCGGGCCGGGCAGACGCCTGCTCTGGGAGCCAGGCAGCCGCGGAGGCGGAGTGAGGCTGCCGCGGCCCACGCCTGGGAGGGCCTGCGTGCCGTCTGTCCGGGGAGGCTGGTTTCACTCTCCTCACGGCCGCTCCTGCCGCCCAGTGCTGGCCCGCCCGCCCGGCACTCTCTCTCCCCTGCCGCCCGGTGCTGGCCCGCCCGCCCGGCACTCTCTCTCCCCTGCCGCCCGGTGCTGGCCCGCCCGCCCGGCACTCTCTCTCCCCTGCCGCCCGGTGCTGGCCCGCCCGCCCGGCACACTCTCTCCCCTGCTGCCCGGTGCTGGCCCTCGTGGGACACTCTCCCCTGCCGCCCGGTGCTGGCCCGCCCACCGGGCACTCTCTCTCCTGCCGCCCGGTGCTGGCCCGCCTGCCCGGCACTCTCTCTCCTGCCGCCCGGTGCTGGCCCGCCCGCCCGGCACGCTCTCCCCTGCTGCCCGGTGCTGGCCCTCCTGGGACACTCCCCTGCCGCCCGGTGCTGGCCCTCCTGGGACACTCTCCCCTGCCGCCCGGTGCTGGCCCGCCCAGCCGGCACTCTCTCTCCTGCCGCCCGGTGCTGGCCCGCCCGGCACACTCTCCCCTGCCGCCCGGTGCTGGCCCGCCTGGGACACTCTCCCTGGGCAGAGGGTGAGAGAGCCTCCTGGTCTCCCCCCCGGCCGCCGGCCGCCCGCCTGCCCGTTCAGGCTCTGTCCCCCAACCCAGAATCCAGGCCCCAGCCAGCCCACCTCTGCCCGGGCAGGGCCCGGGGGAGCAGAGGGCCGCTGACTACCCTGGCCCCGCCCACCCAAGGTCAGCCCACCCTGGAGGCCAGGGCACTCTCCCTTGGGCGGCAGCCTCAGGGCAGAGCTGCCCAGCCAGGGAGGGGCCCGCAGGCTGACGCAGGGCCAGGGGTCCTGTCTGCTCGGCTAGGCCCACTCACCCACTGGGCCCCCAGGCGCCGGGACCGGACAGAGCCCGCCTCCTCTCCCTGAGGATGGAGGTGAAGCCCAGGCTCAGGGCTCCGTCCGCGTTGCACCCCAGCCTGGGTGCCAGGAGCCCCCGGCGCCCGCCAGGTGGGGCGGGCAGAGCAGGGGCACAGGTGGGACCCAGCGCAGCGACTCACCTGCATGCTGGCAGCCCTGGCGGTCCATCCACGGCGCAGGTGGCTCAGCCGGAGCCGCTGTGCCAGGCGGGTCCTCCCTGACTTCCGCGTGGGACTCACCTTCCTGCTCCCTCCCCGCCCTCCCTGCGCGGCCAGCGGGAGGAGCCAGTGCAGGTGCAGGCACACCCTCCCCGGGCCTGCACCCTCACCTGCAGAGCCTCCCCCAGACGGGCTCAGAGGGGCACCGGCTCCCAGGGGGGGGGGGACGGGCGGGAAGGGGCACAGGAGCGCTCCCCAATGCTCCAGCTCCCCCCACCCCGTGCTCTTCCTGAGCCCAGGACTCAGCTTCCCCAGGTCCCCTAAGGCACCAGCCCCACCCCGTCCACAGTGGGTTCCCTGAGAGCAGAGATGGCTCGGAGGATGGGGGGGGGGGGGGGGGGGAGGGGGGAGGAGAGGATGTTGGGAGGATGGAGGAGAGGATGGGGAGGAGGATGGGGGGAGGATGGGGGGGGGGGGGGGGGGGAGGGGGGAGGAGAGGATGGAGGGGAGGATGGGAGGAGAGGATGGGGAGGAGGATGGGGGGAGGATGGGGGGGAGGATG